TGGCACGTCTATTGGCACGTTCCGTAGCGCGTCCCCTCGGAGCGCCCCGCGGTGCGCCCCCGTAGCACGCCCCCTGGCACGTCGCCCGGCGCGCCCCTTGGGACGGTCCGCGGCGCGCCCGCCCGGCACGTTCCCCTGCCAATTCGCTGGGGCAGCAAATATGTGCTGAGGCAGCTCGAGCTTAAGATCAAGATCAGTTCGGTTAGGACTCGGATGCAAAGGAGGACTCGCTCCACGACGCTATAGAGCACAATCGCGGCATGGCATATCTCAGTTCAGCACACCGCATCACAGCACAGCCCTCGGCACGGTACATCAAGATCGATACACTCATTGCAACCTGGCACTTTCTGTGGCGCGTCCCGCGGCGAGCCCCCCTGCACGTCGCGCGGCGCGCCCCCTGGCACGTCCCGTGGCACGTCCATTGGCACGTTCCGTAGCGCGTCCCCTCGGCACGTCCCGCGGCGCGTCCCCGTGGCACGTCCCTTGGCACGTCGCCTGGCGCGTCCCTTGGGACGTTCCGCAGCGCGCCCGCCTGGCATGTTCCCCTGTCAATTAGCTTTGGGGCGGCAAATATGTGCTGAGGCAGCTCGATCAGAACTTGGATACAAAGGAGGACTCGATCCACAACGCTATAGAGCACAGTCGCGGCATGGCACATCGCAAGTTCAGCACGGCGCTGCACAGCACAGCCCTCGGCACGGTACATCAAGATCAATACACTCAGCATTGCGTTTGCCCGTCGCCCAATCAGGTGTCTTTGGAACGTGGCCATGCCTAACATATCTATATTCCTTTTCCGGGGTCGTGGGTCGATCATGCTGCCCCTCGGGTTGAGCCACCCGGACTTCAGGCTGGAGATACCCAGCCCGAGGCAGCACTCCGCGTCGACGTGCTGCTCGCGCGCGACGATCGAGCTGAGGCTCTGGAAGCATGGCATTCCACCATCGTCATAGGCCTGAACAACGAAAGAGATCACGCCGCACTCGTCCTTGCAGCGGTGGCACGTGGCCAGGCTACGCGCGATGACGTGGCCGCCCGTGAACCTGGCAGCACCGTCGGCCTCTCTGACGAGAGGCCACAGCTCCACCTTGAACACGACCGTCGCGGCTATGTGCTCCTCCCAGACCTCCTGCCAGTCCTCTTCGTCTGGCTCCGAGCTCGGCGAGAGGGGGGCCCTGCTCGCCCGACTGTCTGGCCTCCGTCCCGAAGGGTCGCATGGAGCGCTGCCACTCGCTCTCGCCCTTCATCCACGGTTGTCCGCCTCGGCCCCATCTGCCTTCCTCCCGCGCGTTGACATGGCTGGCGCAAGGGGGGGAATTTCCTCATATCCACCGAGGCGCGGCGCCGAGGGCGCAGGCCCAAAGGCCAGCCTTAGCGCCCACCGTTTTTCTGAAACGGCCGAGCGCCGAAGCCCAAATGGCCACAAACTCCGGGCAAGGAAGAGGATATACAGTCGGACTTGATTGGAGAGGACACGCGGGAGGACACGAGACCCTTCCGATGGCCACATTGCCATAGGAACGTAGGAGGCATTGGTCGCGAGACACAGGACACGAAGGTACCCTTGATCTGGCAGGGTCGACCTACTGATCCGGGCCGCCTGTATTTTCGTGTTGGTACACGGAGGCGCACCTCGTGATGCGTACGCGTGACACATGTGGTTGTATCGTTTGATGGTGCATGTTATTCATGTGTGTTGCGTGGCGTGTGCTGTGAACGTGTGTGTCGTGTGTTGATGATGTATGCCCGTGGTGTATGTTACATTTACCTGTCTTTGACGCGTGTGTTCTTGATAAGAGGACTGATGTGTAGGATTGGTGTGTGTGTGTTGTGTATGGTTGTTGTTGGCGTGCACAATGTTGGCGCGCAGAGCTGATGTGTGCGATTGGTGTCAGACCTTGGCGTGTTGTATTGCCATTGGTTACGCGTGGTGTGTAAGTGGTATGTTTTGTTGATGTCCAATGTTGTTGCGTACGTGCGGGCATGTTCTTAATACACGAGATATTGTGCATACAAGCGACGCGTGATAGCGGTCCATGATCCTGTTGTCCGCTGGTGGTGACCATGGCGAATGCATGATGATGGTGCTGGTGATTTCCGCACGGCATCGATGGGCGCTCGTTAGTCTATGTTGCACTGAATGTTGTTCATGCGTGCGTTGAATCTACACAACTGATGATTGCGAATGATTTTCGCTTGTGGTGCATGTTCAGGGTGCTTGGTATTGATCCGTGCTGTGGGCGCCGCGCACGCTGTTGTCTAGCATGTGTGATGTTAAGGTGTGATCTAGGTGCATCGTTTGTGCTTGATGTGAGCCGTCGGTGTCTGTTCTGAACTTCTGCGGGAGCCGCAACGTCGTGACGCCTCTCTGGTTGGGTCGTCTGTTAGATACGCCTGCGATGTGTGCATTAGATTATCGGGGGTATATCTGTGGCCTGGCGGCCGCGGAATGGAGGGCAGGAGAGGCGGATCACCCATGGATCACTCGGACTGTTGGGGCGCAACGAGGCCTCCTCCCTCCCCTACTCCTCCTCTTCCGGCGGGGAGGCCGCAGTCCGCGCTAGCTGGCCGTGTGCCAGGTGCGCCGCCGCTAGCCAGCGCCGGGCAGGCGGGCCCGGCAACCAACCAGCGGACGCACTTGAGGGCAAGCGGGCCTCCTCCTCCTGAGTCCTGATTTCTGACAGCTATAAGGCTCGTCGAACGCAGCCCTCCCCGCTCCAGGGCCAGTCGGCCCTGGAGGGGGCTGATCAAACTGAGGCCACGAGACCCCTGGAGCACCGCTCCAGGAGTTCACTGACGAGTATCTGTAAGAAGTGTAAAGGTGGGAAGCAGACAGACAGACGAGGGGAAGAGGGGAGGAGGGACAGAGGAGGTCGCTCACTCATATAACCTTGGCCTTCCTCCTCCTCCTCCTCCTCCTCCTCCTCCTCCAGAGGAGGAGGAGGGGGAGGAAGAGGAGCAGGATTGCAGTGTACCGCGAATGCCCTTGAGGATCGGCATAAGCCTGTGGAGGTGCTCGCGAAGGTTGAATGACAACCTTCTGGTCCCTGAGCCTGTGCAGGGACTCTTGTTGGCACCTGGTGTCGGTGGCTGGTACGCAGTCTGCCTACCCCGAGACAGCCACCTCTGTTCGACACATTCGGTTTGGCGGGGAGTGCTTCACGATAGCCCCTGTCGAGCACCATCACAGGGTTCTGCCTACCCTCAGAGGTATTAGCACTACACTGGACTCCTGTTCCTACTCCTCCTCCTCCTCCTCCTCATCATCATCATCCTCATCCTTACCCTCTCTCTCTCTCTCTCTTTCTCTCTCCATTTCTCTCTCTCTCTCGTTCTCTCTCTCTCTCTCTCTCTCTCTCTCTCTCTCTATATATATACATATATACATGTATGTATATACATCTATGATACTCTCCCACATGTTCCCCAAAGTGACTCCACAACGGCTGGTGGAACACTTAGTCCAATAGATTGGCCAGAATGTGAACCATTGTTTGGCCACATAGGCGTTTAAAAAGGCAGGGGGCGGCGGTGGTTCGCCATAGGCGACTTCGATTCGTTCGCCACTGCACTACCCTGAAACTCCGAGCACCCCGTCGAAAGAAAAGAATGTGTGCTTCCGACGTGGGCGGCATGCGTACGCACGCACAGGGTGAGCGAGCGAGCGTCCATCCGGCTCTACTGCGGGTAGAGCCGCGCCCATTTTGGCGGAACGAGAAGAGCCGTAGCCCCAGTCAAAAAACTGTGGATGATCTCATGTCGCGGTCACGAACTGGTCCTCCGCACTCCGCCATGCGTCTTGCTGTGTCCATCTTGACGCGGGGTGTGCGGCCGCTCGTGCTGCCAGCCTCCAGTGTTGCCGGCGTGGTGAGTCAGGTTCCTGCTCTTTCTCCTCCCTCGACATCCTCCTCCTCCTCCTCGAGATCCTCCTCGTCCTCCTCCTCCTCCTCCTCCTCCTCCTCCTCCTCCTCCTCCTCCTCCTCGCGATCCTCCTCCTCCTCCTCCTCTTCCTCCTCCTCCTCCTCCTCCTTTTCTCCTCCCACCTCCTCCTCCTCCTCCTCCTCCTCCTCCTCCTCCTCCTCCTCCTCCTCCTCCAGGCATTCCGCTCAGAGCGTCGACAGCAGGATGTAGGTGGAGTCCCCTGTGGGGTACGATGCATCTGACACGCTTGCTGAGCTGGGCGGGGCAGCAAGCGGACGCACCCACTGGAGCCATAGGTCGAGCTTCCGACGGCGCACGACAAGTGATGGGCCTGTTTTCCACCACCACCACCACCATAAGTTGAGGGGGAAGGAGGTGGAGGAGGAGGATTAGGAGGAGGAGGAGGTGGAGGAGGTGGAGGAGGAGGAGGACCCCCTCCCCCTCCTGCTTATGATGGTGGTGATGGAAAACAGGCCCTTCAACAAGTGTGAAGGATGCCGGCATACGGAAGCACCCACTGAGGCCGTACAGTCGGGACCGATTGCAGAGCACACCCGAGAGGAGACACGTCTCTTCCGAGGGCAACTCGTGATCCAGACATGGAAAGGCACGAACCGCGATAGACAGCTGGATCTGGCTGTAGGCTGAGCTCCCTATGGGGCAATAGATGTGCGAGGGATGTGCCGACATGGTCGGAGGCGGCATGCGGACGCACCCACTGGAGCCGTAGGTGGAGATCCCCGTGATGCACGACATGCATGCGTGGTGCCGATATGGACGGGGGCAGGAAGAGATGGCAGAGAAGTAGGAGGAGGAGGAGGAGGAGGAGGAGGGAGGATGAAGGAGGATGAAGAAGGAAGGCGGACACGCGCGGCACTGCGGAGAGAAAACGAGGATCCAACCAACAGAGGAGGGTCGTGAAACACAAATATGGTTCTGGATGAAAAACGATGCAGGACACTTTATACGAGGTGCTCTTCTAGAGCCAAAAAAACACCAGAGTTGACAATGCGAAGAATCTGCAAAAAGATGGACGGAGCAGGGAGAACGAAGAATGCCCTCGCGTCGCACGTGTCCTCAACCGCAGAGGGCACATCCTGATTGGGGTACCCCGCAGCAGTAGACTCCTGAGGTCAGGACTACGCATCCCCCCAACACGCGTTGACTGTGTCCTCAGGAGCGTGTTGTAACCTCATTCTTGGCACAAGAAATACGCTCCTCACAAGTGTCTCTTGCACGCACATGCAGGCACAAACTGCACGCGCCATCGCGCACACGCTGAGGGACTGTACCACCGCATCATCGCATGACTGCCACGTCCGCTTACGCAACACATCATTCAACAAGCCCTTGATGACAGCGAACATGACTGTTCATTTGACTAAGACCACCACGTCTACTCCAGAAGCGAAACTGATGTGCCTCTGACGACCCAACCAATGCAGCCCCAAGACGAGCCTGAGTCAATTCGTCACTGTACGGTCCCCGAAGTAGACATACAACTCCCCTTTGTAGTTGAATGAAGTATACACGACACCACTAGTTTGTACAACGACAACCACTCTGGCTCCGCAAGTCTGCAAATACTGCTTCAGAGAGCAACATACTGAACGCACACACACTGGCGGGCGATTCGCAAACAGTGAGCACCACGGAGCCGCAGGAAGCAGAAAGACGCCACGGGAAGCGCATCGCAGCTGTAGGAAGCGAAGCTAGTCGCACCTAGTCGGGGCTACGGGCAAAGCAAATCAACGATCTGCATACGATATATCATAGTAGCGGACCCACTCGGACCCAGTCGAGGCTATTTAGCCCCGACGAGCACACTTCCAAACCTACCAGGGCGCCCAGGGCATGAGGGCTACGAGGTCAGCCCATCGCTTCTAAGGGGAGGGAAAAAACGTGCGTACATGGATGTTCGTGGGGTGGCTTAGCGCCTACGTACGCCTTTCTGGGGCCCCTGAGCCTTCTCAACGACCGGGAGCGGTAGCGAGGTCCGCCAGCTCAAGGGGGTCCGGCGTGCACGACTGGAGACGGCGCCAGCCCCGCTATTCTTGCAGTGCTCGAGGAGCCGGACGCTGCCATCGGCGACGGGAGTGCCATCCGGTCCTAATCCAGCTTGGGCTTGATAGCCCTTCATCGTTCTTGCGAAGACCACTCATTCCAGGATCGTTGTGATTTCCGACCCCGAGACAAAACGCCAGATCGATCTGCGCGGTCACCGCGGCGGTGGCGGCGGCCACAAGTCGGGGCCAGGTTTTCGTCAAGGAATATCGTCATCAACAGCAGCAGCAGCAGCAGCATCATCATCATCATCATCATCATCATCATCATCATCATCATCATCATCATCATCATCATCGTCAGCAGCAGCAGCAGCACCACCATCATCATCAGCAGCAGCAGCCGCAGCAGCAGCATCATCGTCATCCTCCTCCTCCTCCTCCTCCTCCTCCTCATCATCATCATCATCATCATCATCATCACCTTCATCATCAGCATCATCATCATCATCATCATCATCATCATCATCACCTTCATCATCAGCATCATCATCATCATCAGCAGCATCGGCATCAGCACCGGCACCATCATCAGCATCATCAGAATCTGTAGCAGCAGCAGTAGCATCACCATCCTCATCAACATCATGATCATCATCATCATCATCATCAGCATCATCATCATCAGCATCATCAGCAGCACCATCATCATCGTCATCATCAGCAGCGTCGGCATCATCATCAGCAGCATCAGCATCAGCATCATCATCATCATCGTCATCATCATCATCCTCATCATCAACAGAATCATCATCATCATCATCAGCATCACCATCACCATCACCATCACCATCACCATTATCATCATCATCATCATCATCATCATCATCATCATCATCATCATCGGCATCATCATCAGAATCATCATGACCATCAGCAGCATCACAATCAGAAGTAGCATAATCAGTATCAGTATCAGCAGCACCATCCTTACCATCATCATGATCATCATCGGCATCGTCCTAATCATCCGCATCATAGTCATCTGCATCAAGAGCATCATCATCATCATCATCATCACCATCATCACCATCATCATCAGCATCATCATCGTCGGCATCAGCATCATCAGCAGCACAATCATCGTCAGCAAAGGATCATTATTAGTAGTATCCTTTTTATTACTCGTAATCATCATCCTCATGAGCATCAACAGCATCCTCATCATCAGCATCATCAGCATGATAATCATCATCAGCAGCAGCATCATCATCCCAATCCTCATCCTCATTCGCATCCTCATCCTCCTCCTCATCCTCCTCCTCCTCATCATCACCCTGTCGAGATCATCTTCCCCATCTTCGCAGCTGGAAATGCTTTCACGGATGCGTTGGCTACGGCCGCTGCGGAGGTTCGGCGACCAGGGTCATCACTCCTTTGCCGCGTACGGACCAGTGGGGTGCCATCTGCGCGTACGTCCGACTACGTGCTAGAAAGGCCCTGGCGGACACCGTCGGTGCTGACCCCTGTGTGCTGAGCAACCGTCCACAGCCAAAGCCGAACCCAGTCAGAAGAAACACGACCTCGGCGGCAAACCAGGCACGACATGGTCAAACTCAAGAACAAATTGTATTGCATGGCGCGCAGGCAGTACCTTACCTCCGACAACCTGACCAAATCCGTGGGCTCTCCCTCT